CCTTTGACCCCCTCTCCCCGCCTCCACAATTGCTCGTGTCTGACTCCAGTCACTCCCCTCCACTGCAGCCAGTTCTTCAGGGGCTCCCGGGAGGGAGGCCCTAAATGAAACAGCCTGTGGGACCTGTGGGAGCCTCCCCGCCCCCAGCCCCAAAGCTGATGAGGCCTTCCTGTGTTGGGTCCCGGTGGGGGTCTCGTCAGGGAATGTCTCACATCGTGAGTCCCCAGTCACCAGAGGCACACCTTGAGGTGCGTCCAGCCAGCTGGCCTCCTGGGTGCCCCGTGTCCCCCCCTGGACTGGCAGTTCTGGAAGGCCAGGGGCTGTGAGAGAGCAGGCTTGCCTGCCGCTCCTGCCTGCCTCGTGTCAGGGCGCAGACCTGGAAGTCTGGGACTCTAGTCTCGCTGAGCGGCTCTTCCAAAACTGGGGGCGACCTTTGAACCTGTAAAGCCCACTCCCCACCTGCTTATCCACACACCGTCTTGTTGGGTTTTTTTTATTTCTTTTTTTATTTTGTCTTTTTTTTGTTTGTTTTTTTTAGAAATCTGTCTTTCAGGTTTGCCAGAAGGTAGGCGTTGAGCCCGCTGTGTGTGTGTGTGTCCCGTGTCCTGCTCCATCACTAACTCCCCTTTTCTGGTTCTGGCTCGTGGCCATCTGCTAACGTGTCTGTGTGGTCCTCCTCTGCCATCTTAAAGGGACGAAGCCTGGTGTGGCCGCGGGTCAGCACCAAGCCTGCCCTCAGACAGTGGGCTCTGAGCACATGGCCCTCGGGGCGAATGGCTTTGAAAGGGAGGGCCCTTCCTCAGACACCGTGGTGCTGTCTTCAAGCCAGGGAGACCTCCTCGGGGATTCTCCCTTTAAGATTGTCTCCCCTCACCCCGCCCCCAGGTTTGGGTCACAGCACTGGGTTCCCCCTGGCCCTTCCCCTGCCATGTGCATGCGCTACGAGGAGGCTGCACCGGGTTACAAGTGCATCTGGGACGGTCTCTCGTTCGGGGTCTCCTGGGCTTCCTGAACTTGAGGGCTGTGTGGCTTCTTCCCCCTGGCCTCTGGGACGGAAAGGCTGGGGCGGGAGCGACTGCGGGTTCCCCAGCTTGGGTCTGACTCCTCCAGGCCTGCCCAGGGAGCCTTGGCTTCACAAGTGGGGCACAGCACCCCCTTCTGGCAGCTCTGCAGAAGCAGCCCCCCCCCCAACCTGGCCGACACGGGGCCGGCCGCAGCACCAGCACCGCGGTGACTGGAACCTCTCCTGCTGGCCGTTTTCCCCGGATGCGGCCTTCAGCTCTAGGGCCAGGACACTCTCGCTGGTCACGCCTGTCACGCGAGACGGGAGACGCACCTCACTGAGCTCGCCTCTGACCTCAGCCCGCCTCTCTCATCTCTCTGCAGGCCTGGGTGGGCCCAATGCCAAGTTGCAGGTGGAAGGTGGGTCGGGAGCCTGGTTCCCCAGGTGTCAGCCTGGCCCCGCTCTGGGGCTGGGGCGCCCAGAAGGCACATGGGTGCCCAGCTGGTGGAGAAACCAGACGGGATCTTCAGGCTTTCCCCACTCTCCGCTCCGTGCCCCCCAGCCCTCCACTGCATGGCTGGTGCTTGTGCCATGGGGCCACGATGGGGGCTTGCCCTGCTGGAGGCCCAGGGAGAGCTGCCAGGGCCCCTTCCCCTGCACCGCCGGGCTCCCCGCTCGCAGTGCACTTGTTGGCATCGTGTGTGTCTCTCGTGTTTCTGTGTCCCTTTTACATGTGCTGCTGCCGTCCTCTCCCCCTTCCGCATTCCCCGATTTCCCGGCTCCCAGCACCCATCTTGCAGTCAGGAGCTGGAGAAGCCGCTCAGCGGGGCCAGACCTCTCCCCCTGCCCCGTCCTCCTCCTGCAGGCAGGCGGCCCGGCCGCTGGGGAGTCACAGCCACGCGGCAGCCGGCACCCACCCCCAGGCCTCCTCCACACACCTCCAGGCCTTGGCACTGGAAGCCTCCTGAGAGGCTTCCACGTCCCCGAGACCCCCGCTCTCCCAGAGTTGGAAACGTTGCAGTCCAAGACCCCCGTGTGTTGGCACGAACGCTCACGTGAGCGCTGGCTGGGGCCAGTGGGGAGCCCGCCTCATGCTGCACCCAGCGCCTTTGCTCTGGGTGCCCCGTGGACCCCGCCCCAGCAGAGGCTCCTCCTCCCCAGCCCACTGCTCTGGAGTGTGGGAGGGGCAGGCTATGCTGGGCTCCCTCCTGGAAAGGGACTGTCAGGCTGCCAGTGGGAGGTGCTGCAGAGCCTTGTTGGCCCGCAGATGTGGCCAGGTGGCCTTTGGCTCAGGTCCTGCCCACCGGCGGGCAGCACCTTCCCAGACCCACCCTCACCTGGGTCTGTGGTGGTGGAAGGAGCGAGAGACCCAGCACTAAACTCTCCCTCGCTCTGTTTTTTGAGGAACCTGAATGAACCTGAAAGCAAAGACCGAGTGGAGACGCTCAGGTGAGAGGGCCGGAGCCAGCACTGGCCCTGCCCGGGCCACTGGGCTTGCCACAAGCCTCCTGTCCGTCTCTTCCTCTGCCACCCGGCTCTTCCTCCGGTGGCTCTGCCCTGTCTCCACCCTCTCCGGGCCTCCCTTTCCCGAGCCCCGCTGCACAGGTCTGGAAATTGGAGCCCTGGGGTGGGCCGCGGGGGCAGCAGATGAGTGCCCTCGGCGCCGCTGCTTCCGGGAGGCAGTGCCCAGCGCCCCTTCCCTGGCTCTCCTGGTCCAGCGAAGTCCTGCGCCCCTCAGCCAGGGTCTCGGGGCTCCCTCTTCCGGCTCGTGCGCCTGCGCTGCTCCCCCCGCTGTTCTCTGGGCCAGGGTCTGCCCGCCAGGGTGGCTCTCCCGTGGGTGGGGTGCCTCGGCCGCCCGCCTCACACGGCCCCTGCTCCCCGCAGACCTCACATGGTGGGCGGCGGCGGCAACGACAAGGACAAGGAGGAGTTCCGGGAGGCCAAGCCGCGCTCGCTGCGCTTCACGTGGAGCATGAAGACCACGAGCTCCATGGAGCCCAACGAGATGATGCGGGAGATCCGCAAGGTGCTGGACGCCAACAGCTGCCAGAGCGAGCTGCACGAGAAGTACATGCTGCTGTGCGTGCACGGCGCGCCGGGCCACGAGGACTTCGTGCAGTGGGAGATGGAGGTGTGCAAACTGCCGCGGCTCTCGCTCAACGGGGTCCGCTTCAAGCGGATATCGGGCACCTCCATGGCCTTCAAAAACATTGCCTCTAAAATAGCCAACGAGCTGAAGCTTTAACCGGCCGCGGGGCCGGCGGGCGCGAGCGAGCGCGTGGGCCAGACTGCAGCGGGCGGGCCCCTCCCGCCGGCCTTCCTTCCGGGTTGTTTCTTCCACGTTTGTGGGGGATGGGAGATGGCTCTTCTCCCTCCCCCACACTCGCCCCCGCCCAGAAATTCCTCCTTCCCCTCGCTCCCCCACAGGAGGCAAAGGAAGGGGAGGGGTGGGGGGGCAGGGCTCCCCTCGGTACTGCGGTTGCACAGAGTATTTCGCCTAAACCAAGAAATTTTTTTATTACCAAAAAGAAAAAAGAAAAAAAAAAAAAAACAACCCAGCGGCCACCTTTCCTCCCTGCCCCATTGGGACAGTTGAGACTGGATCTGTGGGGTTTCCCGGGAGGGTGGCTCAGGGCTGGAACACTCTCAGGCAAGAGTGGTGGAGCTCCCGGTCAGGCCCTCCGCCAGGCCCGCTTCGGGCTTATCTCCCCCTCCTCCCCTCCTCCCCTCCAAGCGAACCACCAGAGGTGGCCTTCCCCTGCCCTCGAGCCCGGGAGCCCCTGGGCGGCCGGGCGGAGGGCCACGCAGCACCCCTGCCCCTCCCTGCTGAGCTGGGCACTCCCTTCCACTAGCTGCTGTGGGGACATTGGCTCCCCTCCTCAAGTCTGTGCCATCTTCTCCACCCCTCCTGGTAGAAGGGCCCGACCCCAGGCTGGAAGAGGGGAGGGGCCGCAGGGCGAGCCGGCTCCTCGGCCCCCTGCTGGCTCCCCGCAGGGCACGCGGGCATTCTCCGTTCTGGGAGAGCCTTTGTCTGCAAGCACAGCCCCTCACGTCCCTCCTCCCAGTGCGTCCCCGTCATTGGCATTAATCCGGGCACCGGCTCGTCCGCACCACTCTCATCTCGGCCTCGCCTTCTCCGGACGCTGTCGCCCTCCTCTCAGGAGACACTGTCCAGGGCCTCCCCTGGATCGGGCGGCAGGGCCACGGGGTGGGGGACGGGGTGGGCGAAGTGCCTCCCAGCTTGCTAACCTCCGCGGCCGGCGTGGGAGTGGGTGGCTGTGGGCGCTTGGCTGGTGGCGGCCACTGCATCCCTTAATTTATTTCTCTGCTGTTTCTGTTCTTGAGAAATCGAGGGGGGGAGTCCCGCAGAGGCCACCCTGCCCTCACCTGAGTTGTACATTTTTTGTGATGGGTTTTATTTTTTATTTTATTATTTTATTTTTTTTCTTGATTTATGATGACTCCACCCCTCCTTCATCACCCCACCCCCCATCCCCACCCCAGGCCAGGCTTGGAGGCCTTGGGTCCTGGGAAGGGGCCTCGCCAACCTCAGCCCTCCTGCCCCACGCTCAGCCTGTGGCTCCGGCTCAGACCAAGGGCTCCCCCCTCCTCCTCCCCTGCCCTGTGGAACAGCCCGGGTGCTCCCAAGGGGCCTGGCAGGGAGGGCATGGCTTGGCTCCCATTGGGGGTGGGGGCAGGGGTAGGGGGGGCACCCAGGCAAGGTGGCCCCTCCCCACCTAGCCCCTCCTCCCCCGGCCCTGCACTTAGTTTCTCCTCTGGATCAAACACGTAATAAAGAGAATGTTTGGAATCTGAGCCGCAGCCTCCTGTGTCTTCTCCCAGCCAGGCAGAGACCCAGTCCCCGTGGGCAAGATGTGGCCCAGCCCACCTGCCTCGCAGGAATGAACTGACTCCAGTCTGGGGCCTGGCGGGGGGGTGGGTCCAGCCCCTCCCACCCTCAGGGCCCTTACACCAAAAGGGCAAGAGACACCAGAGCTTGGGAGGTTCGTTTTATTATTTTTTAAAAATGTTGAAAAATAAACCCATGTCTGCATAAGTTCCTACCCCCCCCTCTGCAAGCTTTGTGGGGGGTGAGCTCGGTGGGCACCCTGAGAGCGACAGAGCCCCCGCCCAGCCCCTCTGCCCGCCCACCCCCTCACGGCCCTCCCGCCTCACCCCAGACTTATTGCTAAAGGGATGGGAATGAGAACAGCCATTGCCCCAAACTGTTCTCTCCCACACACTAAGGTCACCGGCCCCTGAGCACAAGGCCAAGCCCCTGCAGGCCAGGCGGCAGCCGGGAATCCAGTCCCAGCCAGGAAGCAGTCGGGCTCGGCTGCCAGGAACACAGGCAGAACCCACAGGTCCAGGCTGTGCCAACCCCAGCGCTGGGTCTTTGAAAGGCCTGGCAAGAGCCCTGGTCCTTTCTGTCTGTCCTCAGAGATGCCCAGGGACGTCCAGCAGAGGGAGACCCCCAGGGCTCAGAGTGAGGGTGCTGGAGGTTCCAGAGGGGCTCCGATCAGGGTTGGGGGAGGCTGAGGGCCAGGCCGGGCACTGTGGCGGGAGGCAGCCAGCGCAGGGCGGATGAGAGGTGGCGGGGGCTGGTTGGGGGCCAGCCGGGGCTGGAGGAAGCGGCCCTGCTGCAGTGGAGGGGGCTGGCGCAGCAGGGTGGGAGCCGTGGGCAGGGGCGGCCTTAGCAGCGGGGGCGGCTGCGACAGCGAGGTGGGCGGTGGCGGTGGGGGTGGTGCCGGGGGCACGGCGCGGGGCACAGATGTCGACACAGATGTGATCTGGACCTGAAGGCAAAGGGAGAGGAACGGTCACTGGGCCCAGGGCGGGCAGGCACACAGAGCCTCTGAGGGCTCCGGCTCGCCCTTTCTCACCTCGTCGTCTTCCTCTGGAGCCGGCGCGGGGGCGGGCGCAGGGGCCGGGGCGGGGGCCCCTCTCCTGGCCTCCTCCACGGGGCCTGGCCCTCCAGGAGCCCCGTCCTGCTCAGCCTCCCATTCCTGTAGCACCTCCTCCAGGTTGAAGCGACGCCGGTAGCTCACGAAGAACGTCTTCACCTGTGTCAGCGTCTTGTTCCCGATCACCTCCGCCACAGCGCCGAAGTCTCGGCCGTACCTCCGGATGGCTGCGAGAGGCCACACGGGGCGGAGCGTCAGTGTCCCTGAGGGCCAGTCACTGCCCAGCTCTGTCCCCTCTGCTCCGGGCTCCTGGAAGGTTCCTGGGGGCCTCTCTTCTCCCCGGGGTCTAACCCACCTTGCACAGCCAAAAGCTGCTCATCTGTGGTCCAGCGGGAGTTGAACTTGGTGTTGGCCTGGAGGGCAAGGAGTGGCACTCCTCAGACTCGGATATGCGGAGACAGAAGCCCTGCTCCCCAAGCACAACCCCCCTTTCTGCGCCGACTCCAGGGAGAAGCCGCCCTTTGGCCCCCTCGCAGCCTTACCTCCGGGGGGCGGAGCGGGTCGATGCCGCCCTCCAAGGCTTGGCGCAGGCTGCTGTTGGTCTGCTTCATGCTCTGGACCTGGAAGGCCAGCGGCGCAGTGGGGAGGGGACGGCAGCCCCACCACCGCCACCCCCAGCCCTCACCTGGGCCCCCAGGGCACCCCGCGCAGCAGGACGCTCCTCACACACCACTCCTTTACCGCGGCCCAGAAAGGAGCCCGAGGAAGGCGAGTCCCGGAAAATGGAGCCGGGGCCAGGCCTGGCACCTGCTCAGGTCTCCCTTCTGCTCAGGTTCCCCCCCCAACCCCGTGCTGCCTGCCTGCCCCCTTGGCACAGTCCTCTCCTCTCCCCACCCCTACCTGGCGCTTGAGGGAGATGAGCTGCGAGTCGAGCCCTCGGAGCGTGAGGCTGGCCAGGTCCGGACTTCCTGACACGGCCGTGAGGCCCTCGGGGCTCAGGTACATGCCCTTGGGTGGGCGCCGCCGGGTGCGCAGAGGGTGGTGGCGGTACTGAGACACCTGTACCTCCTTCTTCCCAGGCCCCGGGCGGGCATTTAGGGGCCGAGAGGGCACAGGCTGCAGGCAAGAGAGAGGAGGCAGGTAGGGCGGGGCCGGAGGAGGGGCAGGCGGCAGGCAGGCACGGCCAGCCCTGCTGGGGGGGGGGCCTCACCTCTCTCTTGGGGTCGCCAGCGTCGGGCTCTCCCTCACTCACGGCTCCTCGTCCGTCTTCAAGCTCATCACTGCTGACACAGGGGCCAGGGAAGGGATGACCAGAGGCCGGGCACACCGGCCACTCCCACCCGGCGCCCACCCACGTGCCGCCCACCTGTCTTCCTTGTCCTTGCGGCCCCCCAGCCGCCGCGCCTGCCTGTCCATCACGCTGGTTCGGCTGCGAGTCTTCTTCCAGGAGTAGTAGTACTTCACCAGGCTGGGAATCAGCTTGTCGGGCAGCTGGCAGAGGCAAGGCCAGAGGCCGGGGCTCAGGGCAGGTGGGGGTGGGGAAGCGAGGGCCGGCGGCAAGGCTCTTACCATCTGCTGGATTCGCTGGAAGCACTTGCCGTGGAAGCCAAAAGCCTGCTCGAACAGCACCTTGTCCTCCACTGTCCACTCGTCGGGGAACGGGGTGAAGTTGGCCAGGTCGGCCAGCGACTTCTCCACATCGTGCTTGTGCCACAGCAGCATGCCCAGAGCCTGGCCGGGGAGAAGGGGCACCTGAGGCTCGGCGGCCCCTCGCACCGGCCCAGCCGTGCCCCAAAGCCTCGGGGCGCGGGCTCACCTGCTCAATGTTGTACCCGTGCTTCTCCTTGGCCATGGCAATGTACTTGTCGACTGCAGGGGCGGGAGGGCCGGGTTGGAGGAGGAGGGGGCCTCGGCCCCTACCCAGCCCCCCCAGGGGTCCGCCCCCACCCGTGCAGGGGGCAGGGCCCGCCCCACTCACGCTTGGCATCTGACACGCAGTGGTTGGGCGACCACACTAGCATCCCCTTCAGCTCCTTGTTGCTATAGCGAGCCGGGCTCTCTGAAAGGCCACGGAGACACTCGCTCAGCCCCACGCGAAGCCCAGAGGGGCGGCAGGGGGAGTTGGAGTCCTGGGGAGGGGAGGGCCTCTAAGGGAAGCAGGGGCAGACACCCCTACACCCGGGGCAGGGAACTGCGCGGCGCCCCGGGGGTGGCCCACCCACCGCTGCGGACCTCCACCCCTCCACTCCCAGCCTGCACTGCACTCACCGGGCTTGCACTCCGGAATGACCGCCTGGTAATTGGTTCCGACGCGGATCATGCTGACCAGAGTAGACCGGGGGGGGGGGGGGGGGTCAGGCCTCCAGGGAGATGTGGAGGGCGAGGTGCTGGCCCCGAGTTCTCCTTCTTGACCACCCAGGGCCCTCATCACCCCCGAGCCCCACTTCTCCCTCATCTTCCCCTCTGCCACCCTGAGCCACGGAATGACCCTGCCTAGTCACCGCCGTGGGGGCCGGAGTGGGGGCGGGGGAGAAGGGGAGGGTGACACAGGAGACAGTGTTGGAGCCCAGGCCAAGCAGTGTGCTTTGTTCCGGCCGGGGGTAGGGGGTGGGGTTGCAGGGCAGCCCCCAGACCTGGACCACAGCCCTGCAGGGCGCCCATGGCTCCTCCCCACCACATGAGCCGCTGGGCTCCACGTGGAGGGGTCTCGCCAGCCCCAGCCCCAGGAGACCTCAATTCCATGCAAACTGGTCAAGGTATGCGGTACCCAGGCCTGGGTCCTCGGGGACGGAGGGCAGGGCAGGGCGGGGCGGGCAGCACCGCCTCCACGCAGCCAGGGCCCGGCCTCCAGACTCCCGGTGTCGGCAGCCCAGGCTTGGGAGAGGAGCGGGGCGGCCAGGAACCATCAGGTCCGCCGTCGGCAACTCTGCCCTCTGCATCCCCACCGCCGCCCCCACCGCGCGCCCTCGCGGCCAGCGCGCCTCGGACCCTCGGCCGCCCGGCTCACCGTGCGAGTGCTCCTCCTCGCTGCTGTCATCCTCCGAGTGGGGCTGTCCGCCGTTGGGCGCCGTCTTGGCCCGGCTGCGGGACAGGATGCCGGAGCCCGCGCTCGGCTTCTCCATCACCGAGGGCATTACCCCGCCCGGCTGCCCCAGGGGGCGCGGGAGCCTCGGGAGAGCGACCGGGGTAGCCGCGCTCGCCGCGGGTGCCGTGCCCGGCCCGGCCTGGAGAGGTCGCCACTGAGGGCTACGAGCGGCGGGAGGTCAGCGTGGCTCGGGTCCGGCGGGGGCGCGCACCCAGCGGGCAGTCCCGGCGCGCTCTCCGCGACCCCCACGGGCGAGGGCGTCAGAAAAAGTTTGTGCAGAAGTGGGGTGCGCAGGGGAATGGAGCACAGGGTCCGGCGCGGCTGGGGAGCGCTCGCGCCGGGCGCCCCTGGGGGTCAGGGGTCCCCCGGATTTAGTCGGGGCACGCTGCTAGCGGGGCGCCTGGGGACCCCACCGCCCGCCTACCGGCGCCGTTCCGCGGGCGGGTGCCGCAGTGCAATCTGCGCGCCCCCACCCCGCCGCCGCACCTCCCGGCTGCGCCAGGGATGCCCCAGTCCCCCAGCAGGGACCCCCGTCCCGGCCAGACCCCTGCCCGCGACGGCACCCGGCGCTGGCGGCGGCGGGACGGCGCGCACGGCGCGGCGCTGGGGCAGAGTTGCGGGCGGCGGGCGGAGCGCGGCCGCCGGCGCCGCGCCGCCTCGCACCCTCCCCGGCGCGCTCGCTCGCCCGCTCGCCCGCTCGCTCGCTCTCCCCGGCGCGCTCGGGCTGCCGCCGCTCGCTCCCTCGCCGCCGCCGCTCGGTTCCTCGCGCACACAATGAAGCTGCTCGCAGGGAAGTAGTGCCGGCTGCGGCCTCAGCACCCCTCCCCCAGCCGATGCCTCCGCCAGCTGAACATCTGGCCCTGGGGTGGGAGGGAGGGCCCGGGGGGCGGGGCCTGGGGCGGGGGCCAGACCTCCAGGGGGTGGGGTCAGGCCCGGGGTGGGGAGCGCGGCCCTCGGCTGGACCCCCCCCCCCGGCGTCCCCGGGCTCCCAGACTTGCCCCCGGGGGAGGGGGAGACCGGCTGCCCCCCAGGAGTAGCCGGGGGTCAGCCCCACCCACGCGCACACATCAGTGGGCTCGGGTTACTGCCGCCTGCCCTGGGGGCCCAGAGGCCGCCCGCCCGCCCGGGTGGAGCCCAGCTTTTCCTTCCATTTCCCTTCCTGCCAAGGAACTCCCACCCCTCCTTCCGCACGGGGGACCCCCCCTTCATGCGCCCTTGGGGGCCAGACGGATAGGGAGGCCGGACTGGCGAGCCACGAATTTCTCCAGGAGCTTCTGGGCCAGAGCCGGGCTTCTGGTGGATCTGTGGGTCCCCAGGGGTCACCCCAATTCCCTCTAACTGGTGCAGTGTTCACCCCAACACAGCGGCCTCCCGAGCTCAGGGGTGGGCAGTGGGACCCCAGCGGGGAGGTCTGGGCTGCGGGGGGAGCGGGGAGCAGGGTCTCCGTCACCCCAGCTGGAGGCGGCATCCCCCTCCCCCCGACAGGCTCGGGCAGAGTGACAGACAGGGAAGCGGGTAGAGAGGCACAGACGGAGGTGGGGGAGGGGTGGGCAGAGACTTTGAAAGCCCGAGCCAGCCACCCTGCCAGGCACACAAAGAGCCAGCGCGCACACCGGGGCGGCTGCGCCCGTGCCCAGCCCCGCCGCCCGGGGCACGTGCTGCGCCGCACACAGGCCGGAGCCCCCGCGCGCGCAGGGCTCCCGGACGCACCTCCGCCGGGCACACGCGCGGTGCCCGGCCCCAGCCCAGCCTGCGCTCGCGCCCTCCTCTCCCTTCCCTTCCTTGGCCACTCTGTAATCAGATTCCTAAATTTAGAAGCGGCCCGGGGCCCTGCCAGGGATCCCCGCCCCCACCCGCGGCCTGCGGCTGACCGGCCCGGTCCTGCGGTCGGGCCACGACCCGGCTGGGCCGCCTGTTCCTGGGGGCTCCCGCGGGTGGCTGGGCACAGCCAGCCGACCCCACCCGCTTTGCCGTGTTGTCGGGCCACACGGGGCCACCCAGCCAGCAGCCACGTTGCCGCCACACCTCGGCCAGGACTGCGGGTCCTTTTTTCCTCTTCTGAAATCCTGGACTGGGCAGCAGGCCCTAGGGCAGGGAGGTCTGGACGCAGGACAGTAAAGGGACCAAGAGCCGGGCAGAGCAAAGAGGGCCGCTCCCAGGCTGAGCAGCCCCCACCCACCCAGTGCCATCCCTCCCCAGCCCCAGCCTGGCCACCACGGCTGCACACCACGCTCTCCCGCCCTGGCCCCTGCCCCAGGGTGAGGCCTGGCCTCTGATGGAGACCCTCCCCCACCCCTTGCCTCCTTGGCAGACTCCCCCCAGGGTCTGAGGTCTGAGCATCAAGCCCACTTCTGGCCTCCTCCGCCAAGGCTGGCCCAGGCACAGCCGGTCTTGGAGCCTGGATCCCCAGGACACACTCCCCACCCCCCACCCCACCCCACCCCACCCCGGGATCCTAATTCGGTTCTCACTTCTGTCTGGAACAAGCACTTGGGGCCAAAGGAGGAGGAAGCCGGGAGTGGAAGCTAAGTCCCTGGGGTGTAGGGGGTTCCTGGGCCCTGGTGCGGTGAGGTTTGTGTCTGGGGGGGTGGGCTACAGCATGGCTTGAGTTTGTGGGTGACTGGGGGGACACAGTGTCCAGCAGGAGGAAGCAGGTTCCTAGTGTGCAACCTCCTTCCCTGGGGGCAAGGGCACAGGGTTAGGAGGGGGAGGGGCAAGGCCCCACCCCTCCCACCTGCTGCAGCCGCCCCCTCCCCAGCTGGCCCCCTCTTTTGTGCGGAGCCACACAAAGGACAAGGGGCCCAGGCCGGCCTGGCCATCTGCTCCCAGCAGCCTGATGGCTCTTAAAGAGACAGCAGCCCCTCCCTGCCACCCTGGGGCTGTGGGGCGGGGCTGTGCTACCAGGAGGGCTCTAGCTGTAGCCCCCCAACCCCTTCCACCTTTCCCTGGCTCCCCAAGCCCCCAGGTCAGGAACTATATTCCCCCACGTGGTCAGGAACAGGAGGGTGTGGGTGGAGAGAGAGGGAGACAGCCCCTCCTCTCCTCCAGCCGGGCTGTGAACACAGTGGCACCAGAACGGGGTCCCCCGCCCCCCAGAGGCCCCCTGCAGGCTTGGGGAGAGCCGCTGCTCTCCCGGGAAAGCCCTCCCCGCCATTTCTTCCTTCTGTAGGGAGTGCCTTCTTTTTGGGGGTTGGGGACCAGGCTGTGGGTGCTGGGCAGCAAGCCAGTGATCTGGGAGACTGAGGCTTCGCTCAGCCCCCACCTAGGCCTGGGCCTGAACCCCTCCCTCGCTGCAGCCAGGAGGGGCTCCTTACCCTGGGCCCCCCCAGGGCAAGGCTGCCGGGCCCAGGCCAGAGCCCCGCACTGATTGGTGCGATTGTCTTGCCCATCTCCCTGCTGGGCTGTGGCCCTGCACTGGTCCCCCGGGTCCCTGCTGTGTTCTCAGCACCCAGGCTCTCGGTGGCTGCTGCCTGCCCCAGTGGCCCTTCTCTGTGCCAGCTCCGCGGCGCCCAGCCTGCGGGGCATCTCGCCTGGCCGCCCTCCTCGAGGTGAGGCGGAGAGGACAAAGGTTGCTCAGGATGCTGGCAAAGAAATGGAGAGTGACCTTGGTGAGCCACCCGGGCTCCCCTGGCGCCCCCTCCTCCCTAAGGCGGGGGCAGCTCCAGCCAATCCCGGGCGCGCCAGCTCTGCCAGACAGACTGGGACTGTCCCGAGCCCTGGCCCAGCGGGGCTGGCCGCTGCGGTGTGGAGCCGGGACCCAGGCCAGGCCGACCGAGGCCACGCCAAGGGGCTAAACTTGGGGAAGGAGGCAGGCTGGGGGGTGGGGGAGGCTGGCGCGTGGCGGGGGGGGGGGGGGGGTTAGAAACCCGGCTGGGGAGGGGGCGGGCCTGCAGGGAGGTTAGGATGGGGAGATGGAGGCGGTGGGCTAGGCAGCGGGAGGAGTTGGTGAGCCCCCCGCGCCCCTGGGCGGCTCATTCCAGCCTAGACAGGAATTCGGCCCCTCCCTGCCCTCAGACCCACTGGGGCCCCCTGGCAAGCCCAGGTGCCGCCCTCCCACGGCCCCCACCCCACCCCAGCCCGCCACCCCCGCGCTAGCTGAGGCTGAGGTGGCGACGGAGGTGGCAGTCCGGGGCTCGGCTGCACCTCCGCACCGGGTGGCTGGGCGGGGGCGGCCTGGGGGGCAGGCAGGCGGCCCATCTAGGGGGGTGGCGCTGGAGGAGCGCAGAGCAGGCCCAGGCGGGAGGTCAGCGAGGAGACCCCGGCTTCCTGACGCCCACGCCGACGAAACCTGACTCCCTGGGCCGGGCGCGTACCGGGGAGGAAGGGTCAGCGAGACCTCGGCGGAGACAGACGGAAGGCGACGGGGGCCTCCCCGGCTCCGCGAGGGGGTGGCTTCCAGACCCAGGAGCCCGCCTGGTTTCTACGGAAACTGGGAAGAGGGCCTCACCTGGGCAACAGCTGCGCCCTCTGGCGGTGTCGGCGTGGACCGAGGCGGGGGTCCCACCTCCGCCTGGGCACAGATGAACGCTTATGGAGGCTGAGCCTGGGGCACCCCAGGGAGCCCACGCTCGCGGGGAGAGTGCCTGGGTCGCGGTCATCTTGGGCCATTGGAGTCCCCTGGACCCTAAGTCCGTCCCCGGCAAGTCCTGCCCCAGAGCCGCCCGCATCAAGGTCAGGTGCAACAGAGGCCCCTAGAGGCCGGGCCGAGGGACACACACGCGGGAGCAGCCCACCAGGCAGGCCCAGGAGCACAGACCCAGGCCGGGTGCAGATACACGGCTGCCCGCCACCCTCGAGTGCCCCCTGCAGCACGCCCCGTGCCCAGCGCCTCCCTTAGCACGACAATGGCTGGTACCTGAGCTCCGCTCTGCCAGGTACTCCCAGGGCTTCTGGCCTGGCCGCGAGCACCCTTCCCACCTCCCCTCCCCGTGGTCCTGCCCCCCCCCCACCTGCCACTTGAGACTGTCTACAAGGAAACCCCTCCGTGGCCTGTGACCGATTCAGCTCCTTCCATCTCTCTAACGTGGACATCCCTTGCCCCTCAAAGCAACCACTCGGGGCTCCCCATGCCCCCCTTACCCACTCTGCGCACCTCACTTCGCTGCCCCTCCCACAGGGGTGGAGCCTTCACACATCCACCTGCTAAAGCCCTGCCTTCCTGACATGCTTACCCGCCCCCCCCATCCGTCCCGCCCTCCCTCCCAAGTTCACCTTGGATACCCCTTCCCGCCAAAGCCACTGCCCCGGGTTTTGTTTTTTTGGTTTTTGGTTTTTTTAAGCTAGACTTCTTCCAAGAGCTGTTCACACCTCCCTCTCCTGGTCCTCACCTCCTACTCACGCCCAAAACCCTCACACAGACTGTTCTCGCCAGGGCCACCAGCCTCCGTTACCGAAGCCCAAGGGCCCTTCTGCCACGGGCACGACTGGCCCCCTCCCCAAAACTGCTCTCAGGGTCTTCACCACCGTGTGCCCAGCCTGCCCCGTTCCCTGCCCCCACCGAGATCCCGAGCACCCCCTCCCTCTCCTTCCCTTCCTGCCAGGGCCGGACCCCGGCTGCCTTGCCCTGGCCTCATCCCGTCCCAGAAAGAGCCTCCAGCTGGCCTCCCCGCCGCCCCTCTTGTCCTCTCCTAATCTGTTCTTCAGCAGCCGGAGTGCTCTGACACCCAATCTGATCAAGGCCGTCTTCCGCCTCATTATCCTTGGATTAACGCGATTAACGTCTCCTGAGAGCCACACCCTCCACTTCTTCTTTAACTGTTTGTTTTAGACAGAGACAGATCTTCCACCTGCTGGTTCACTCCCCAAATCCCTTCAACAGCCAGGCTTGGGCC